GCTTAGCAGGCTTCTCTAAGAAGTACCGTCACTGTTGTTGAAAATAATCTAAATTCAAAGTTCTGATGCTTACATCAAACGAATCACTCACCAAGTGAGACAAAAAGCTAAAAAAATTAGCTGTTAATGTGAGAGGTTAGAATATACTTCTTGCCAGCTATTTTCCTTCAGTCTTAGAGAAACTGAAACCCCAAGGCAGAAGTATTGTAAATCACTTGTTCCTACTGGACCATCACCTTAGTTAGTAAGTAAAAATTGAATCTGTCAGCATTCCTGTGGGCATTATAGCTCTGCCTTCTAGCAAAAGCCCCAGTGAGATGACAAATCCTGAGCTGAACCCATTAAAAAGCTGTCTGTCATGCCACTCCTCCTGTAATAATACCTGCACATTACAAGCTCAAACACAAATATTTAGCCTACACATGACATCATTTTCCTCCTCCTGGGTATAACAAACTCCCTTCCCGCTACACATGAGTAAGGCTTCATGTACAGCTGTATTACGAAGCATTTCCAACCGGAAAGCACGGAGATTTAGCAGTGACCACTAAGCCAGTCACCCGGCAGTTTTTAGGACTGGGTTTTATGGCATTGAAAGGGCAAGAAACGATGGGATGGAACGGTAGTCCCTGTGCAGCCTCACCTGCTGCGGCTCCTGACCCTGGCTGCTGCTGCTTCATGAGGTAGGCAGAAAAAGAAAGAAGGTAATCTGTCGCCAGAAACCTTCTTCAATTGCTAAAATGCATTACATGCACATGGAAGTTTATATTTATAAAAATCTAAACATTACCAAGGCACACCTATAGATTAGATTTATGTCACACCACATGACTCTACTCATCTCTCCAGCTTGTTAAGAACCTGGGAGCCACGGTCACAACATTCTTGATTATTAAATGGTAAGTTACTTTACTGATTATACCTTTTTAGATATTTGTAACAGCAACATTGACTGGTTTGAATGAAAACATATGTCTCTGCAGGAACCAGCAGAAGCAGCAGGACAACAAGCGAAAAGGACAGTCTGTATGTCACAGGGCACTGTCCCCAGAACACCACTCCCCAGCAGTGAAATTGCCGAACATGCTATCTATATCCAGATCAAAAGGCCTGCACTCTGATAAATCAAACCACAGCAGAAATGACTCGGCAGATCCGCATGCTAACGTCAGAAGAATGGCGACAAGGATGCAGCATATTACATATACCATTCCCCTTCCCCTAACCCAAGAAAAGAATAGACCACATACATATATTTTAAGCATTATTTCCTTATTTAAATCAGGAAAAACAAACAAGAGAGCAATGTGGCCTAAGATCTATACAGGCTAAAGACAGAAATATTCTGAGGCATAGAAAACCCCCATAACAATGGCCGATCCCTAAAAGGCCTGAAAGATCTGTCCAAAAACTAGCTCATCATCATCATTCAAGAAACCTAAACATGTGAAGAGGACAGGATAGCAGTGTCCCTTTTTCTTTGAGTCCAGACAACTTGGACATACCTTGGTACCTCTGAGTATGAGTGAATTAAACTCATGAGAAAATGAAAGTAGGTAAAAATCAGCTGGCTTAATGACTCTGTAAACAAATAAATACACCTTCCCTTTCCATAAGACCTAGCACTGAATTTTATTACTCCTATTTCCCAATACCAGCAGCTGAGATACAAACTTGTGAGTTATATCCAATTCATACAAAGTTCTGACAGACAACATGACATTTAGATTGTGCAAAATCTGAGATGCAAAAAAAGAAAGACAGGATGTTCTGAGACCTTACATGTGCTAAGAAGTTACTTATATGGAAGCATAAATCACTGCACAGATCTCCAGAGCAAAGAGGAAAAAGGAAGGAAGCATTTCTAAACAGGGTATTTCAAAGGCACATTAGTTGCTCACACTAACATTTAATACTTGGGATTGCAAGACAAAGTAGATGCAATGCTTGTGGGGTTTTTTGGTTAAAAACACAAAATGAGGATGTGCCTAGGCTCCTTGTGCAAATACCTCTGAGAAGGTATCAAAATACTGTATCAACGCAGAAGGTGTCAAGAATTTGCCACAAAATCCCTGTTGCCAGTAGACATACATCCAGTTTACAGTCCTATGTGTCACACCAAAGCCACAGAAAATGTTTGAGGCTTCTCTTTTCTTCTTCAAATCTGTCTTGCAATAAGAATTGTCTTTAAGTATTCGAGTTTACCTGTCAGCCTGTTAGAACACAAACTGAAAAACAACACAGAAGTGTATCTTTTTTCTTCTATTCAAATCATATAATTTTTCTTTAAAAGAATAAACTAAAAGGTAATGATAAAACATAACTACTGAGAAAACTTCACCTAAATGAAATCTTCCATTACATGTTTTGTTTAATACTCTCTGGATAATCAGACTGGTAGTAACGATGTTAACTAGTCTGACTGCTATGTGCACATCACTGATATTTTTATTACTTTGAATAAAGGTACCCACCACTAGAATGATGGGCATAGAAATAGAAAATAAACCCACTGCTAGAACAATGCTATACTGCAGCTAAAACCTGTATTTCTTCAACAGTGTATTTATGTATGTATTTACATAGATTTATTTTACCTACTTCACACCTCTCATGACTTAGTTGGAACACTGTACAGATGAACAGAAAACCTAACTAGAATTGAGCCAAAAAAGTCTGAGGAGCGGGAAAAAAAAAAAAGGTAAAAGGAAGGAGCAAAAAAGAAAACCCAGAAAGGTCAGAGTCAAGAGTTGTATGTATCTAGGCAAATAAAGAGTTCTGAAATAATTCTCAGAAGCTATGTGGAGAAAGTACTTTGTACAAGATAAGATGCATCAAACTAAAGGTCACAGCAAAGACGAAAAGGGCAGCTTTCCCAGAAGCTGAAAGAAGAAAAGTTATGTTTGGTACTCTCCATTGTCTCAGTCTTGCCAGTACTGAAGTATGTAACAAGCCAAACACAATGCTCTTTGAAATTACCTTCTGAGGAGGACATAAAAGCCTTGCCTGCCCTTAATACCAACAATGCGACTCAAGTCAGTAACAGTATCATGGACTCTGACATGAGTCCTCTACTGAACTGAGATGTAGTGCACGAAGGCATCACCCTTACTTAACTGACTTCTGTGATGCAGGATACAATCTCTGCAGGAGAACCAGAAGAAAAATTCCTGTCTAAGCCTCAGCTGTTCCAGCTCATATGTCCACTGTTTCAATGCATGTGTACCTTTACTGTAATTTATTAAATTTCTGCAAATAGATTCACTGAAGAGTGATCTATCAGGGATACAAAGACAGTTCTGGACAGAAAACCAGAATTATGAACTCTTGCTATCTTGTCCCCACAAAACTTTTCAAGATCAGTTGACAAATACTTGTTGCATTAGAGAAATCTTAGAAACACTCAGAAACATCTGTATCTGCATTTGAAAGCTTATTTGCTCACCCCCCCCCCCGAAAATCCACCATCAAATTCCAGGAAATAAGTTTGTGGCTTATAAAGTTGTATTTCTCTATAAAGTTGTATTTCTATAAATACAGGCTCTATAAAGTTGTATTTCTTTTTACTCTGAGAACTTAAGACTCTGCCTGTAATCATAAACTTTAATCCCAAATGTACTACCTTTTAAAATTCATTTAAATAGTATGCTTGAGCTCCACCGAACTTCTGCAAAGTTAAAATTTTCACCGTTTATTCTCAGTGACCAGGATTATTTCCTTCCCATGAGCATTATTATTACAACTGACAAAAAGCTCCTAAAGAATCCTGGTGATACACCACATGAGTTTACTTTTGTAGCAGGAGCAATTGGTTAGGAATAAAAAAAAGGCAATAGAAAAAATTATTACATAACAACAACATAAAATTGTTTTTTGAATAAATAATAGGTGAATATTTGTATTTGCTCACTTTCTTTTTTCTGAATGCATCGTTAAACATAAATTTGTCGGAAGAATTTATCTCATCAATCCATGCGTCTGTCTCAGAAGGTGTCACTATTCACCTAAAGATATTAGAGACTATTTGGGGAGAATTTTGGCCTTAACAAACAGATTAGACAACTCTTTTCATAGTCAATGCAATGACAGCTGCATTCATTTCCCTCATAATCCAGGCTCAAAGTCAGAAGCAAATTCTCAGTTTGCAAGCTAGATTATGTTCTGCTTGATATTTACAGACAACCATTGAAACCCCCGAAACCTGTCAATGATGTCAAACAGGACAGAAATAGATCATCTTGCTTGTTTTTCCTAAATAAACTTGCATTCATAAAAGAAATAGGAACAGAAACCTTGAAGAAAAAGATTTTCTTTTATCACACACACTATGAAAGCACTAAACCACTCAATTTTTTTTGGAAGAACCACTTCAAAAAAAGGATTATGTCTGTGTCTCTGTCTTTGTGTTTTACCTTTCCACTTACATTGTCAGCAACAAAAACAATTTTTTCTTTTCATTCCATAGTCCTTTTTTTTAAAAAGAGAGACACATTGATACCAGGAGGATCTATAGTGAGGTTCATGATGCCATTTCACATGCCACTAAGTAGAAGAATGATGTTTGTAAATGTCAGTCCCTAACACCAGGTGAAGGAGCTCAAATTTGAGCACCACCCACATGCATTACTTCTATGTTACCTTAGAGTAATCCACTTAACAGACGGTTTGCAAAACCAGGAACAAAATCAAAATGATGAAACTATGTTCAGCCTCATTCTTTATTACTGAATGTTTTATTGACTGATAAAAATACGGATAGGCATCAGATTTGGTAGGAAGCTGCTTTCAGAAAGTACCATAAAAACCAAGCTGCATGACTTCAGAGAGAGCAACAGGCAAAAATTGGTTTCAGGAGATCTCAAGTGTAAGTAATCCCTCTACATTGCATGTTTTCAAGCAATGCTGTTCATGTCCTACAGAATAATTTTTCTGACCTCCAACTCAGCAACAAAGAAAGAAGCAGAGCTTTAATTAGGAATGAATAAAATAAGAATACTTACGCTGACCCCACCGGCCTGTTCTTGGATTCAAATAATTTGGATAAAGTCCATTAGGACGATCCATTTTTTGAAGTAACTTCCGAATGTGCATGACCTAAATTAAATCAAGAATCAGGATCACCACTAACAATGTTCATCTGCTTTCTGCATATAGTCAAGTCTAATATTTTTTCTTTTTCTTTTTTTTTTTTTTTTTTTAAGTAATAGATTTTCTTAATCTGAACACAGACCTACCTTTCTTTCGGGCTTCCTGCAGAATAGTATGGTTTTGTTTTTAAAGAACTGCTCACATAAACATATTTTTAAATTATTATTTTTAAATGCATGCTGTTAACAAATAAGAACACTTGTGCTGTTATAAATGTCTACTTGAAAAAGTAACCAATTTGGTAACAGAAATACAAGTATGAAAAAATTTACCTGCAACCAAGAATGCAAATAGAATGCAATACAGAAAGTACTTCCCTTTCATGCAATTTATGATGAAACAGCACAAAAGACACTTGTATGACAAAAAGCTGAATTTGAGACCTACCTTGTTGTAGTATACAGGGTCCCCTGTCAAATAGCTGAGGTGGACAAATTCCATGTGCAGAGTACCAAACTCAGCAAGGATGCTGCTGCCAGCAGAAGCCCAGCCCCAGTTTCGACCCACGCCACTGAATTCCGACAAATATGCATAAAAAAGGGAGAAAAGAACAAAAAATTCAGAATTACTGTGCACAGCATTAGTAACAACCACCATAGCAAATTAAACAAGTAACAGAAAAATATTAACCCACACTTAATTACAGGAGTTGCGTTTGATTAATCGGTTGGTTCATTGGTTGGGTTTTTTTTGAAAAAAGACACCATAACCTCACCAACAAAAAGTCCTGTGATTAAAAGATATAATATCTTGATATCTCAGAAATGTAATGACTTAACAGTGGGCCCAATCGAATCCTGTTTATTCACTGCATGTTCCTAAGAACAAGAATGAAAAGCAATTATCAGACCAGATGAGTATACTTCCGAAGCATTCACTTCCTCGTCCTGCCAAACATCTCCTGGGTTCCCTTTGCTTACGTGGTTTTTTTTGCTTGGGTTTTTTTGGGTTTTTTTTTGCTTCCAGTCAGTATTAGACATTCCAGGGAGTGGGCCCTATCTGTATCTACATAGGAAAACAGTATGTTTACTGCAGGCAGAATATTATGAGCTCCTCAGGCTCACATAAAGAATCAACAGAAGGTATCATATACCTCATATCTTTTGCACTCTAAGAGATACCATCTTGCTAAGTCATAACGCCTAAATTACTTCTGGTTTAATCTAATTGAGAGTTTTCACCACCTTCCAGGATTGGGTCTTTTAATTTCTGAAGTTAACTACATTTTCCTGGAGATTACTTCTACTTCCTCTCATAAAAGATTTCAGTTATCAGTACGACTACAATCAATTAGGAATGTCTCCTTACTTATTTTTTAAATTATAAATTAGAAAGAGGAAATGTTGGTAATGGAGCAGTATTTGTGGCTCTGACCCGAGACAGAACACAACCTTTTAAAATACAGTAACCACTGTTTACAGAGTGTAGAGAGACAAAATCATAGCTTGTCTCAGGGGTTTTTTTTTGGTACAGCTCTCATAAAAAGAGAAAATTAAATGTTTCATTATGAATACAAAAGCTAATAAAATACAAGCGGGTAATTTTCCAAATATTTCTTTCAGGTCTATGTCTTTTACTGCGTGTCAGCCTCATAATAAGAGTTCTCACATACACCCGCTACTGTCACTGCCCCCGCCACGACAGCCACTATTTTCTGCTGTGATGCTGGCTGGTTCTATACATTACCAAGAGACTGACACAGTAAATGCATAAAGAATACCAGCACGCAGGAAATTTCTGGCACTCCAATCCTTTCCCTTCCACCTACTGCAAATCCTCCTCCCTGGTCTGCCCTCCTGACTGTGCTCTGACGCCCGACCTACATGTTTTACTGGCAAGTATCCATGCATCTACTGCTTGCAGCGTCTCAAACCTTGCCCCCTCTGTTACTCGAGCCAGTGGACCAGATGCCTGTGCTGCCCGGAGTACGGCTGCCTGGGCCGTTCAAACATACTGGAATCATGGTGCAGGCCTGGGCTAAACAAAGCAAAAACAAAAAACCCCTTGCGCACAGAGGAATTTCAAGCCGTATGAAACTGCAGGAAGAACACAAACCATAAAGCTGTGCAGAAAGTGCACAGGGAAATTTAACCCAATATTAACTGTACAGAGGTTGAAAAAAATGGGGAAAGTGCAGCACTGGCAAAGCAAAGCAAACCTGCACCATCAGAAGGGCAAACCACAGCTGCATGGTCTTCACCCAAGGAGTGACAGTAAAGTAAGGATCATTTCCTGATCACAAAAAGGCACGTAAGGCTAATGCTCTCAAAGTAGTCCTAAACCTCTTCACAGTCCAACAGAGCACAACAAACATCTCTCCTAAAAGGAAAACAATTTAAAACAATTCAAAACCTCTCTGCTATTTACTATCCTGAATTGCTTAAGTGCACACACAATCTAGACATGCAGCCCAATTCAGCTACTGTTTAAGAACATGATAAATATTTTTAAAATGCCTCGCATCAAAAAGGCGCTCTCAAAATCTGAGGGAAATCCAGCATTGAACAAGCAATACATGATAAATTGGATAAGGCAATTCTCTTCCACAAGGCAATGCAGACCATCCAAGTTCAATGTCTGACCTGAACAGCCATTTAAAGGAGCCTCTCCATCTTCACAGACCACAGTGGACTTAGCACACTAGCTTTTATACCTAAGGTGAACTGTAAAATGAATTAATATCTTCAGAGACAAACATTGTGTGAGTGTTCTAAAGGTAACATACAGCTCACACAGTATATAAAACCCAGTAAGTTCAACCATGGCTTGCAAACAAATTTGTTTTTTAATAGGTTCTTTAATGACTAAAGAACTAATGATTACGCTCCAGGGCAACACATGGCATAATACACTGGGTATGTTCCAAGAGCATGTTGAATTCTTATTGCAGAATCATGGTCACAATTTATTGCAGTTAATGAGGTAGAATGCTCTGAATTCTATTAAAATTATTCTAAAGTGCCAGGAATGTCAATTTGTCTGCATCTTCTACAGTTCCACTATTAAGAAAAAATTAGTAATGGCATATGTCAGTTTAAGTTGGAGGGAGGGGGAGGAACACATTTCTCCACAAAAGAAAATCCATTACCTTTTCAGATTCACCATTGCCCATGGTATACCCGTAGGTGTGTTGAAGGCTGGAAGAAGTTTTCCTGCCAGTTGCACAGCTTTCATCTTGAAAACCTAAGATAGTAGGATCAAGTTGCAAATAGTTACAAAGTCTGATTTAACTCCGAGAACTATAAAGACTGAAATTTCCTTGCCCCACCCACCTCTTTGTATTAGAACAGCTTTACACTGTAAAAAATATATTAACTTATAATTTATTTTTTTACTTCTTCACTTTATAAATTTCAGCAAGATTTGAAGATGAAAAGAAAACTTGTCATTTTCATTTCTTTTCTTCCATGCTCTCCAGCAATAGTGCTTAGGTTCCTATTAAAGAAGAATATAAATTCTCCTCCCTCCTCCCTCCACTGATATTAGGAATTTCAAGTGCTTTCTAAAGCAGTCTTTAAACTATAGTTTAAGTTTTGTAGCTAAAAAATCAAGAGACAACTCCCTCATCTCCCACACAAGTATTTTAACTTTTACAAACTTCCAATATCTTTTTAATGATATGTATATAGTGCAGAGTTTCTATTCTTTTATAAGCATTGGCTATGCAAAACTATATATACACATTTTTCTGTAGCTTTTCCTTCATTGACAATGCATAAGAAAAATAATTATAGGCTTAATCTTTCCTCTCAAGTCATTGTCCTCTCACAGACATTACTGACAGGATGAAATATCTTTCACTTCCAGTGTTGTTCCTACTTACTTATGGAACATAAATCTGTAATAGCCTTATTCAGAGCCTAATGTTTATTAGTTAAATGAGCAACTGGAAGAAAGTTCCTTCTAAGCCTATATGAAGCATCTTTTTCCAAGAAGGCATATTTGGTAGATCCCTGCAATGTAAAACTGTTTTTACCAGCTAGTTGCTAGAATATATTTTAATTAACTCATTGTCAGTATTGACTGCATTTCTGCAAAAGTATTTTCTTAATTTGGAGATAATGTTATTCATCAGTTTGAAGCACTGCACAAACATGTAACAAAAAGAGCTACCATGCCCGAAAATACCTTATGCAACACTGACATACTATAGAAGCACTACTATCAACTACCTGACCAATACTCTGTAATCGAGAAGAACAAGAGCTTTAAGGACTACAAGACAGATCTGTTGGATTTATAAAAAGGATTTCTCCCTTTTGTAAAGTCTACAGGAGGAAAACAGAAGAGTTGCTCACTAGAGAAGCAAGTTGAAAAGTAGCTGAGAAATAAGCAATCAAGAACATCCTCATTTTCCACATGAAGGTGGGAAAAGATCAATATCTTCATATTTGAGGAGATGACTACTCAGACATGAGAGAAACCAGAAAAGAATACTAAAGATGACAACTAATTGTATTTGATGCAGTGGAGTATGGAGAGATGGAGGTGGACCTGAAAGCAATGAGCCAGGAAAAAGAACTTTTACAAAGGTACTCTAAATGGATCGTAATATGGGGTATGTCTAAACCAACAAAGAGGATAGCTCAGCATATGATTTGATACAATTGTGAAGTAACAGAGGCAATAAGGCTGGAATGATTTTTAGCAAAGATACTGACAAGAGACAGTCTTTGAGAAAATATGCAGAAATTTAGCAGTAAAATTCAGGTAAGACTCTGACCTTGAATAACAGACCAAGTCAAGAGGCAGGCATAGTATAAGAGGTGTAATACAAGTGGAGTCTAAGGTAACTGGGGAAAAAGAAACCCTGAAAAGAACTAAAAGCTCTACCTTGTCCCAGTTACATATAAACTACCTGATTTGCATCTGTAAATACCTGTCAAAAATTCATGTTGAACTTTTAGATTTTTAAGTGGTACCTGGGTCAAGACCTGGCAGAACTATCTATAGGGAGTCATCTAAAGAGAGTTCCTCTACAGCACAGACGAGCTTCAACACCTAATCCAGAACAGAATGATGACTTCCAGTCAAATGGTACATAGTTTGGAAAGACACTTCTGTCATGAATTTGTGTAGCTTCAGCTTTTGGATCCTGCACCCTCTGAAAGTACTACGCACTACCGCCTTACTCATTAAAAGGTATTGAAACATTAAGGTAAGAATATTCAATGGGAGAACATCCCTAGAAACATCCTTACTAGAAGAATATCCTTACTGGCTAACTATTTACCTACCACTATTTAGGTTTTAATCAATTTGAAATGTATTACAATGATTTTGGGAACAAACTATAGTATTGGATGCAGTTTTTACAAAGAACGGTTAAAGTAAAGATTAAATTCATCTAAATATGCATGAATCTAAACACGGACAGTTAAAGGAAGGCAGCCACTGTGCCAGCCATTTCAGCACGTGAGCAAACCAGAGCATCAGGGCAGCAGCAATAACTGCTACTTCAGACAACCATGTTAGCAGCACCTGTGAAAACCTGCTGTGATTAGAGGCACCCTCCTGTAACCTCTGTTGGGTTGAGGACTCTATGTACCACTGATTTAGCACCAGAAGGTAAAACTCCACTGTTGTGGTTTAACCCAGCAGGTAGCTAAAACAACCACACAGCCGTTCGCTCACCCCCCATCCCCACTGGGAGAGAATCAGAAAAAAAATGTAGAACTCGTTGATTGAGATAAAGACAGTTTAATAGGACAGAAAAATGTTATTATTATCATCATGATTATATAGAAAACAAGTGATGCACAGCACAATTGCTTACCACCTCCTGACCAATGCCCAGTTCCCAAGCCGCAGCACCTCCCCAGCCAGCTCCCCCAGTTGATATATTGGGCATGATGTCGTATGGTATGGAATACCCCTTTGGCCAGTTTGGGTCAGCTGTCTTGGCTGTGTCCCCTCCCAGCTCCCCGTGCACCCTCGCCTTTTCACTGTCAGGTCAGAGCATGAGAAGCTGGACTATCCTCGACTGCTTAGCAACAACTGAAAACATCAGTATGTTATCAACATTATTTTCATCCCAAATCCAAAACACAGCACTATACCAGCTATCAGGAAGAAAATTAACTCTATCCCAGCTGAAACCAGGACATCTACCCCTCTATATCCCTCTCATCCGAGACTGAATCCAAGGAAACACTTGAAAAAATGGGCTGAAGGCATGCCTTTACTTTCTGTTACTGCCATCTCAGTCCCATCTCACTGCTGCTTCTGGATAACAAAACATCTAATGCTTGATACAGTGGTTACCTATGCAGACTAGAGAGAGAACTGAGAGACAGCTGCATAGGTTTCTATCAGAGCAAAGTGACCAGAAGAGCGTATTTGAAGAGATGTAGTGAAAAGAAAGAAATGCAGCAAGCAGTGGTGGATGAGATGCCTTCTATGGGAGCCTGCAGATGTGACCAGAGTGCTCCGCTGCACTCATTAAAGTGGCTTCTTTTAGTATGTTTCAGACTTACCATAGGAGCAACAGTAAATGCATCAGGCTCCAGCTTTTAAATAAAGTACTGGCATCAGACAACATGGTTACTTACCATAGAGTAAGTATTCTTTTTTTTTTTTAAAACAGGTTGAACTGATAGATTCTATTTCAGCCTTGGCAGTTCCCTGTTGACAGGCAATGCATTTCAAGAAACATACAGACAAGAAGAACAGAGGAGAATGAAAAATGAATGGATGCCTTGAAAATGGAACTCATTAGGAAACAGTAGACGAGTTGGGGTTATTTAGTCCAGAGAAGAGATGTTCAAGAGAGGACAACATAATGACTTTTCAGTATATAAAAGGCTAATACAATGAAAAGGAAATAATATTTTTTTTCCATGGACATGGAGAATACAAAATAACACCAAAATTGAGCAAGAAAAAGTAAGCTTGTTATTAGGAAAAGTTGGTGACAAGGATACCTAATAATGAAACACGACTGTGACTGCTGCAGTCATCACTACAGCTTTTAAAAATGCACAGTACATCATCGGCAACTACGAAGCCTGGCATGAGCTGACTGCCAGGGAACAGAAGAATAACTGAGAACTACACAGTCTCCTTACCGCTCTCCCAGCCATATTGCAAATTAATCAAACGGCTTGTGCACATTCCATACATGTGAGAGGAAAGTGTTTGGTCTCTCTTGTGGCCTTGTACCTACTCTGTAGACCCCCACAGCAACTCTCTAACTGGTGCATAAATCATGGAGACAATCCACTCCCAAGTTTCTTTGCTAGCACAAACTCCAAAGTATAGGACCCTGTAACAGAGAGGGAGTCCCAGAAACCACAAAGACAACAGCTCTCAAAGAAGTGCTGTTCTTGCAGGATAACTCAATAATTTTTCAAACGCGCATTCACACTTGCATTAATTACAGAATTTAGCATGTAGTGCCTTAAGATGTGGAGGTAACTCACCAGAGTCTTCTTAAAGACCCCATAACAACTCTAGCAAGACATCCTATTTTGAAGATGCAAAAATACTGCTCTAGGTAAACATGTGTATTAATCCCAGGGTAGCTGTTCTGCCCATTCTCAAAATACGGACATTCTTTCAGAAAAGTTTCAGAAGACGCTGTAGACTTGGATAAGTATTTCCATTTTATACAGCAATACCTAATACACTAAATCCATCAATCTACATGGCCTTTGGTAGGCTAATGCTTCCTCCTCCAAATCCTGTAAAGCAATGCAAGGATTTTTTTCTCCCTATCAAATACAGATTAGGCGGTTTACACCTAAAATGGGAGAGAGTAGTAAATGGCACAAAAAGCAAGACCTAAGCCCCAAATCGGGTAAGTGGATCCCTCATTAAGATGAAAACATCACATCAGTATCTACAAACTAGTGTGTACAGCAGACCAGCTGTGAGGGCCTGAATAATTTTCATCCATTAAATTGATGCTTAACATATCAAACCTGCCACCCACCCCACAATATGAAAGCTTGCTCCTGAGCCTATTAATCCAAGTAAGGCCAAAACATTCAGCAAAATGGCCGTAAAGATTAAGACAATTCTTCAAAAGCCTTATTGATGCATCTAGTGACTGCCGAGATGCATAGCTGCAGCTCTTAGAAGACTGTATTATGCTAATACTGCTGTTAGGTGTCCCCTTCCAGCACTATGAATGGCAAACAGCCTCAAATGGCCTCTGTTCCTAACTCTGAGGGGGTTTATAG